ACCACTAACGTCCTGCTAACACACCAATAATACCACGCTAACACACCGCTAATGTCCTGCTAACACACCACCAACACCACGCTAACACACCCCTAACGTCCTGCTAACACACCACTAACACAGAGGTAGCACACCGCTAACATACCGCTAATGTCCCACAAACATCACGCCAACAACCCACTAACGGCCCCACTGACACACCGCTAACGTGCTGCTAACATCCCGCCAACAACCCACTAACGCTCCACTACCACACCGCTAATGTGCGACTAACGGCCGCTAACGTACTGCTAATGTCCCGCTAGCACACCACTAACACCCCACTAACACACCGCTAACATCCTACTAACGCCCCGCTAACATCCCGTCAGAGTTGTGTGGTTGTAGGCCTGTTGTTGGCCCTGAGGTGTGTGGTTGGTTTAATGAGTGTTTGAGGACAGATGGAGGCTGATGCTGTAATTCTGTCTAAGTGATCTGGTGGGAAAACTACAACTCGCAGTGTCTCCTCCTTTCCTTTCCTTCCCTCCGCTGCTGTCTCCTTTCCCTCCCGTCTTTAATCCTTCCCTTTGTCTTGTTTCTCACAGCGTCAACAGTAAACGACATGCATGCAGTGTGGTTGGAAGCAGGAGCAGATCAGTGTCTACGTTTATACGACTCTTCTCTATTTACTGTTTCTGTGCTCACACACCTCCTCTATTTTTGTCTTCCATCCTTCATTGTTGCTCTCTTGCTGCTCGGTACTGGCGTCTCTCCACCAGAGTGGGCGTCTGGCTCGGCTCTACGTCTAATTGGAGCTTGTACGTTATCGTTAGCACAGCTGAGCTGCTGAGCTGAGCCTTGGAGGCAGCTGTCAGGGTTTGGACTTTAATGAGCCGCTACCTTTAGAGGAGACCGCAGAAGCTCTGGCAGATAGCTTCACTTTGTATGGGCCATTTGTCTGGTGGCTGCTGGCAAGTGTTGGCTCTGAGTGGGTCCAGATGTTGGCTCTGAGTCGGTCCAGATGTTGGCTCTGAGTGGGGACAGATGTTGGCTCTGAGTGGGTCCAGATGTTGGCTCTGAGTGGGTCCAGATGTTGACGCTGAGTGGGTCCAGATGTTGGCTCTGAGTGGGTCCAGATGTTGGCTCTGAGTCGGTCCAGATGTTGGCTCTGAGT